CAGCAGAAGTACTGCCGCGGTGCTGTCGCGGTTATATACTGTGTCGCGGCTGTCGCGGCGTCGCGGAAGCACAGCCTGCCAGCAGCAGAAGTACTGCCGCGGTGCTGTCGCGGTTATATACTGTGTCGCGGCTGTCGCGGCGTCGCGGCAATACAGCCTGAGCGCAGCACAAAGTACTGGCGCAGCATGCGCGATGTAGCCAAAGTACTGTCGCGGGTATTTGTTCTGTCGCGTTCCGTGTCTGTCGCGCTACGTAACACAAGTTTGGTACGGATTGAGCCAGTCCTACTGTTTAGGGTTCTGTTCGGCAGATATGGTCAGAAATATCCAGGGGTAGAGTGCCCCAATCACTTTGGCACCCCCGATTTTTTTCTTTTTCTGTTTTTTATCAATCAAAATTCTGTCCGTATAATAAGCTTCTAATACTTCACTCTATAAAATGGCCGTTTCAGAATATTTTTCTTCAAATCTGTACTCTGTAAAAATTGACTTCAAATTTTTCACTTTAAAAATTAATTTCTCAGCAACAACAAATGCGTTACTATTACTGAACCCATTTTAAAGTACAACAATCATTTCTTTATGTGTCATATGCTACGGTTTTGTCTCAAAGTGTAATGCGTCGACGGTATGCCCGTTTCGCAAACGGACCGAGTTGCTAGCCACTTCGCGTTTAAGCTTGGGTAATAACAAAGCTCTATCGTTCCTGAAAAATGCGCCGCCCTTACCGGCGTGTCCCAAACTGCATTACATCGTTTTTAACCGCTTCGAATTCAACGACACCGGCGTGATAAAGTCCTGGTTGTCCAATGCCAGAAAGACGGTAGGCGAACTGGAGTTTATCGGAGGACGATTGTCATCACTGGACTCAGGAATGTTTGACGGGTTCGACAATTTGTGGGGCTCACCGTGGATAATGCGGGATTGGAGCGGATCCAACCGGGAGCATTCCACGCCACGCCGGCGCTAACGGCACTGTCGTTACAGGAAAATCCACTGAAGGAGCTCGATTGGTCGGTTCTCCCAAAAAACGTTGCGGTGTTGATTTTAACTTTCGCTGTGCCCACTCGTCTAATGCCGGGTTAAAAAATAACACCGCAGTCAAGCAATCTTCGGGCAAGTTTTAACTAAGCAGATCCTGCTTAATAATCATGCATTTCATTAAAAAACGTTTGGCCAATATTATCATAAGCTTTCTATGTTTGGTTTAGGTCTTGAACGCGCCCCTGAATTCCATTACCACCCTTAAAGTTTCCTCCCCTCCAAATCTGCCTCATCTTAACCAAGTCAATCTGGGAGGCAACAAAATCGCCGCCATTCCAGCTGAGCTAATTAACTTTCTTCGGAATGGTACCCATGCTCAGTCGATTAACGTGGAATTATCAGGAAACCCATTGGTAGCCAATGGTGACCTTTGCTTTAATACCATGATGCAACCACTTCAGCGACTGGCTTTCGAGAAAGCCCAGAAAGTAGACGTTACCTTGACCTGTGGAGACGAAGGGCAGCCTCTCTGTGAAGCAAGTAATCAAACAACGAAAGAAGGGTTCCAGTGCAAAGGATGTTGGAAAGCGCTGCCAAACGGATTAGTGGCGTCCGCGTATGACGTGTGCCCGAGTACCACGCAGTCGTCGACAGTTGAACATTAGATTGAAGTGAAAATGTCAGCACCCATAAAATTAATTGTAGGACAGACCATGGCTGGAAACTGTTATACGCTTTGGTCACTTTTTAGTTAAGCGTCCAATGCACTATTACACGACATCAATCGGTCAGCATGTGGAAGTTCCCCATACTCCGACGGTTATTGTCATGCTTTCCGAACCGTCGGAGTATGGGGAACTTCCACATGCTGACCGATTGATGTCGTGTAATAGTGCATTGGACGCTTAACTAACAATGGACAATAACATTAATAACTGGACAATAACATTAATCTCTTGAAATACATTTGTTTATTTAGTTTATTTCGTGATGACATTCAAGCCGTTAACTTTCTCGCATTGACTCGAAGATCACAAACAAATTATCTGCCTATCAGAAAATACTAGAGTGCCTGTTGCGCTTAGAATTATAAACAAAATTCTCCTACTGCCTGCAAACACCGTGTTTCATACGAGTATTCTTCTTAGCGGCTTCAATTTGATAGCGATAAAAACTTTTCTTATCGGGGCATTCCATGTGAGTGGTACGGGAATGTAGTGACTAGTGATGCATTTGAGCAAATACAGCACAGGTGATAGCCACGCAGTTGCTGACTTCAGAGTCAGTTTGTGTGTTTCACAGACTCTCTGCAAGTCGAACGCGAAAGCCAGTGATGCATTTTTCTACGTGGATGCACAGACACCGCCCAACGAATTCATGAGTAAGATAATCGAGGGTTATGTACCTTTTATCAACGGGAAAATCGCGTTGGCCATTGCTGAACTCACCCCGAAATGTTTATAGAGGGAAGGCAAGAATAGGCCATCCCCCGAAGAATTAAGAGACCTGATGGCCTGTATGCAATAGCATCTAGCCGCAGACACACAACGATCCGCAAACAGCGAAGATCATTGAGCAGTGCCGTTATTATTATTATTCATCGTGGAGCAGGTAGCCCATTTCCGGCTAGGGTGACATTCTAGCTGGGATTTTAAACCTGGCCAAATAGCAAAATCGAAAAGTACGAGTGCAGATAGACAGAAAAGACGTCCTAAACAAAATTGACACGGTTCAAAGCTTGCTTAAAGGCACCAACTGTATGAATATGGAACAGATCAGAAAAATTAGAATCAACAAAAAATGTCCACAATTTATTAAGTTTCCAAGCAAAGGTCGTCTCGCCAACTTTCTTCTTCGCTACCGCCTTGATCAGGATGCGGTTTCTACTCCGAAGGTTGTACGGCTTTATACGGTCATCAAATTCCACCATCTGCGGCACTGCGGCTTCAGGGGATGTCACATGCATCCAGCACCCCAACGAGGAACCTGCCGAGAAACCACACGTGGAGCTAGACCAGGAACCAGACAAGGAATTAGAAGAAGAACCACTGCACAGCGACACGGACAAGGGCATACTCTTCGTGCACATGTTTTCAACCGGCGACCGCAACTCAGCGGTGCAAACGGAAATGCAGCTCTTTTGTCCGTGGACAAACACCTTGAAAGAAGTCGTGCTTCCCACTCGGCAGCCACCGGATATCTTAGCGTCATCGTTAGCCATGGTCAAGAATCGGTTAATCTGTCAAATTCTAGAAAAGTCTGATCCACCAGTGGAGAAAGAACGGATTTCGATTGCCAGACTGGATTTACGACACCGCCAGTGGTATCGGTTGCAGGCTGATTTCGAAGTGGATGGATGGCGGTTACCCCCAGTGGCCGTTGGAAATACGATCTATTTTTGGGAATACAAGAGCAGTCATCGGCATCCAAAAGTTGCCTGAATTTTCGACGATAAGGTGGAGCTTCTTTCCGACAGGCGCGTTGTTGAGGTGGATGGAAGGTGAAAAAAATACATGTTAAATTTCATTAGATTTGTGCGGTAAATCCTACGTAAAGGTACAGCTGGCGCGAAGTTTGCGCTTAAGGGAAGTTGCCCGGTACATGTGCCAAATTGGGGTACATACACAAAAACTTCCACTTTTGCGCACTCCGAAACACCGACATTTTCTCGCCACCTTCCGCCGGGCCTCTTTTGCTTAATAAACTGGCGTGCACAAAAAAGCCACCAGCCAACCAAATGCTTGTTACCTGCTTCAGCAGTACGGCGTGGCGCGCCGTGGTATGGAGTTTGGCGTAGCAAGTAAATTTGTATATATCACTGTGCATCGTTTCGGCAAAAATTACCGGGCAAGCTTGCATATACAGTATCAGGCAAAAAAGAATTTCGAAGAAATGCGACGCCGTTACTGTGGCGTAGCGGTAGATATTGCACACAGTGCATCGCCGTCTTGTGCACTATTTTTCCAGGGGCCATGAACTTTCTGATAGCCGTTCAGTTGTTTGATACTGTTATGGTTTTTTTAGGGAAGAATGGGTGGAAGCGCTGAGACACGTGTACAACGTAGTTCACATCACACGGCCACCTGTGGATGACCGACAGTATGCCAAGAAACTGGCAGTGAACTTCAGTGTTAAGGATGCGAACACGCGGCCCAAATCCTTTCAGCGTTTACTAGACGAACGCCGACTACATCCCACTACCCAGTGCGCCTATGCAGTGTCGGATGGGTTTTTGTACAGTCTTGGCGGGACAAGGTGGTTGGAAGCGGACTTTCATGCCACTTCGTGTAAAAAAACACGCCATATTCATGCCACGCTTTCATGCCATATTCAAACCCTCGATCGCCGACCCGTGTGTCGCCTCAAGCGAGCGCGCATTTCACATGCTGCTTTCGTGGTGGGCAAGCGTATTTTTGTGTTTGGTGGGCGCACATTCCCGGATATGAAGAACAGCCTGACTGAGCAAATGGAGGTGTATGATCCCGAAGCGGATTGCTGGTCTGATTTCGCTTCGTAAACTTGGACCAAAGAATGTATGATTACGATCGTTTTGTTCGCACAGTTGCCTTTCCGATCAACAGTAGCAACCTTAACCTGATGCCACAGATGGTCTGCTTTTGAACCACATGTACAATACAGTACAAACTGCATGTGCGTCGCCTTTATTGCTCGCTTCTCACATTATGTTGACTGCTCGGCACTCGTCAGTGACCGTGAGTGACGGAATATAGCTTTACTCGTAGTAACTGATACTGTACATGCTTTAACCTCTTTACTCGTGCTTGCTGTTATTCCTGTGCACTTTCTAGAACTAATATTTTTTCAGCGCAAAAGAATTCACATATAAAAATACTTGCGCTGGGGCAGGCTGGGCACTAACTGAAATAATACGAGTATAAACCTTGAAAAAGATTCAGACTCGTTATTTGTAGTCTTACAATGCAGATTTAATGTTCCCATGCTTTCTAGAGGTTCTCGATTTTCGGTTGTATTTTGGTCTACACTGATGCGCCTTGCCTCTATACATTGTAAGTCCGTGAGTTTCAATACTTTGGGAATCAGTTCGGTTTCTGATACGACGTGTGTGGCAATCGTCGGAGTTTGAAAATAAATTATCGTCGAGGATGCTAGCAAACAGCAACAAACAAGTGCTACATTAGCAAACAATACTTGTTTAAATACAGAGGTTTGCGCAATTCAACGCTAAACTACCTTCCGAAAACTGCAGGTTCCCCGTTAAACTTCAACCGGCTCTGGCGACCGGGGTGCCGATGTCTCCCGACGCAGACTTCTCGCACTAGATGTTGACTGAATACGTGATCCGGCCGGCGAGTTAACGGGTGGCGGGATTTTACAGTACCGCAGCACATGCAGCGCTCGTTTTAAGTAAGGCGGATTAACAGCACAGTACAATACAAACTGTAATGAGTAGCTGGCGAAGAGAAACTGATTGTGCACACCGACAAAGATGGAATACTGGTGGTCGGTCATCCGGGCCACGCACATCTTCTCCATGATCTGGTAGATGACCACTGGGCTCCTGGTGAGAATGTACAGACAGGTCGAGGCGGTTAACATGCGCAGCGTGGCCGTGGTTTGGGATCTCTTCACATGGCGAATCACACGAATGAAACGGCTGCGCTGGAAACCGTTGGCTTGGTGACCGTTCTCGACACCAGGATGGAGTGGTCGAGAATCCGATGGGCTCTCCGGAGTACTGCGGTCCAGTTGCTGCTGAATATGCTGGATTTTTATAAAGCCAATGACGAAGATGTTGGACGCGAAGATGGCGAAGAAAGTTATTAATTCGGCGAACGCCTGCAGCCATGCCCACCGATCGTAACAGTTAACTTAAATAGCGGCTAATATTTTACGGTATTGAGGTCTCACCGTTCCCTTAATATGAACAGTCGTCCATTCTGTTTGCCACTGGTCCGTCGCATTGGCTGGAAACGACACAGATACGAAGTCATAAAGGAATGTTGCCGTTGCCGGAACGAGGATGACTACGAGAACGACTCGGGCGCGAAATACAGTAAACAACGCTCGCGCTTTTAAAGGAAAAATGGTGCATAAGACGCGTGTAATGCTGAACGCCAGCAGGGTCCTGTAAAAAGCCAATGCGCAAATTTTGTCTTGATACTTGGTCTTTTGCCGTTATAGAGGAGCACAAGAGGTCGTTTTACCAGTCTGAGCATTGGGCCAGCGTGTTGCCGACAGCCGTTATTATTCGGATCAGGGGCGGCATGGCATGCCCTTTCCAAACGAAGCCCTGTCCGCATGCAGATATTTACATTGTGACTCGAATTTACAAATTTCAAATTCTGTAATATTTTTTTTGCTGGATTGTTTGTTGACTTACCCCGATATACAAGCCGAACCATGCCCACCTGCAAACATCAAAAAAATAAATTTTACTTTGTCCTTTTTCTTAGTTTTTACTCAGAAAAGTCCGCCATCGCCGAATTTACCAATTTCATGTGGCATTTTATTTATCAGCATATAAAACATTTTACATTCTGCGCTGCGTCATTTGTTTTTCCCACGATTACAGACTTTACATGTCTTATTTAATGCGTATTGATATTATGCCAAAATGCTTAGTTCCTTACATGCATGTCAGATCGAACCATGCCATACCGACGAGGAACACCTTCTGGTAGGTGAGAATACGGTGCAGGAGGACAACATTCAGTATGTTTCCTGTTGTGCACAAGAACATCCACATCGGACGTATCACCTGGTCCGCATAGATAACGTCGGGATTGTTAAAATCGACGGAAACATCGCGATCCGGCCATCCGCATGTTGTAGTCGGCACAAGTGGCGCGACGGTGGCTATAATAGGCTCTACGTCGTTTTGCATACTTCTACCGAATCTCTGGAATTTGTCTGCTTTATTTTACGAGAGGCTCCTTTCAAAACAAAAGTGTTAACCGATAACCACGCTGGACGACCAGTTGTTTAGGGTTGCAGGAATGTTTTTGCAATAGAAGAACGTGTGATCTACTCTGTACATGCAGTAGCAATAAGCATGGCACATTGCCCGACACAAAGAGCAATCGGATGCTTGTTTGAAATGCTGATAATAATTCCGAGGACAAAAATACATTTGCCTAGGCTATCACCCGTGCACGAAGCGTGAAATCCAAAAACGTTACGGAAAATATGAAATCAGTTTCAGTGAATCGAGGCACGATAAAGAACAATCGTCAACATGGGAGAAATAAGTGTACGCGATCGTTACAACTTAAAAAAACGTAATTAATCCCGGAAGGCGGTTAAGTCGATAACTGGCCGTGTACTATGTAGTATCGTGTATCGCTGTATGTGACGATGCCTGCAGCCATTCCATCCGTATAACGCGGCCAGCGATTCAATGCAATTGAGGATAATTGCAGTAACGGCGGATATATACATTTTGATTGTTTCTACGAATAAGCTTAGTAAAGAATATTTTCTGAAATGTGTCGTCTTCTTTGTACGAAGCCGGTTCAGTGAATAACATACGAGTACAATTATGTCCATCCATCCCCAAGATTTAACAGTTGTGTCTGCCTTGATAGTCAGCGTATTTCTGCTACAGCTGTGATTGGCATTTGCCACTGCAGAAAACGGAGTATATACTCTGTATATTGTATGTACAAGCCCATTTGTACTTGCACATTACAGAATTCTGTACAAGTGTACGTTTATCATGTATGTACACATTAAGCTCTTGTATTTAATAAATCGTCACTATCATCCGGAGGACGTTTACTTGCAAGTTGCTGTTGATGAAACCCAAACTTGCATGTCCGTAGAAATCCAGCCCATTAGGGATTTTTTTCATAAAATAAAATACCACTACCTTCCGGGTATTCAAAAGCAATCGAGCTTAAAGGGGGTGTCAGTAGTGGAGACAAGCACTCCCTGTACTTGCTGCCGTCACCCGGCTGAAGTGTAACATTGCGGCAGTACTTACGGTAAATTCAGGGGCACCATGTTAAACGTTGTGGCTACACACCATGTTGAGCCACAACGTACTCCAGCCGGGTGACGGCAGCAAATACAGGGAATGCTTGCCTCAGCATCTATCAGCCCCTTTTATACAAAAATAGCTGCTAACCACCCGTATCGTTCAGCCGTAAGTTGGGTATCTGTATGCGTATAAACCTCGCAAGTGAGGCTTAATTTCTGGAATCTGATAATCGCAACCATAGCTGCTTTAGTCGACCTTCCATCCTTTCCAGCCCACACAGCTAGAGCTCGAAAAGGTGAATAGCAAATTTTGCAGTCAACCAGGAGGAGCTGTATTATTTCGGTTATCTTTGCTTTATGTTAAGGATGCTGTGTAAGTCGCTGATACGGGAACAGGAACAAATGTAGTTCCTTTCCGTGTGACGATGTCGTCTATCGGCGTCCGTAGGCTCTGGGCTGTGGGCAGCTCCGTTTTTAATAGTTGCAGTAACACCACTAAAGTACGGTTTAACTACCAATCCCCAAAAATAAATACTTAAGCGTTCTGTTAGCGAAGCATATTTCCCGCAGCTACATATTCGACAACTTCCGAACTCCTGAATCTTCATCAATTTAAATCCCCACCGGTTCTGGAGCTTTGTGCGCCGGCTCTGGAGCTTTGTGCGACGAATTCCGCCGCAGGCTGCGCCCACTGGACGTGGACTGGAGGTGTGACCCTGCCGGCGAACTGGCCGGTGGCGGTACTTCACAATACAACAACACATGTAGCGCCCGTTTCAAGTAGGGCGGATTAACCGCACAATACAGGATAAACTGTATGGAATACCCGGCAAATATACTCTGGTTGTACACGCCGGCGAAGATGGAATACTGGTAATCCGTCATCCGTGCCACGCACATCTTCTCCATGATCTGGTAGACCACCACCGGGCTCTTGGTGAGAATGTACAGAAAAGTCGAGGCGGTTAACATGCGGACGGTAGCGGTGGTCTGGGATTTCTTCACATGGGAGCGGATGGAGAAGGTGCGATGGTGACCGTTGGGTTGCTTGCCATGCTCCTCGCGATCGGCTGTCTGCCGTCGCCGAAATATCGGCCGGTTTTCCGTAGGGTTTCCCAGACGGTTTCGTCGCTGGATTTGCTGGATTTTCAGGAAGATGATAACGAAGATGTTTGATGCAAAAATGGCGAAAAAGGTGACTAGTTCGGTAACCGCCTGAAAATATATAAAATTTATTAACCGGTATTCTAATAAACCCTATAATCTGAGCTACGGTTTTCCGCAACCGTTATTTTGCACTCATAACATTAGCATAAAACCGTAGTTTATTTGTATGTTCTTCGCCTATTGAGACGGAAATACCTAATCGTGATTTATTCTTTGCGGTGACCTTTTTTTTCGATAACAGCACTGAACACCACTTGTACCATCGTAATACGTTTCAAACAAGTGGCACTGCAGCATTTTATTTGCCTTACCGTTCCCTTAATGTGAACATTAAGCCACTCAATCTGCCAGTGCTCCGTCAGATTAGTCGGGAATGCCACGGAGGATACTAAGTCAAAGAGCCAGGTGGCCGTTGACAGGACGAGGATGACCACGAGAATAATCCGAGCGCGGCCTATGGTGAACCACGATCTGGCTTTCAAGGGGAATATGGTGCAGAGTACGCGGGTAAAACTGAAGGCCAGCAGAGTCCTGTTAAATTAACAGAATATTAATTTCTACCCCGTCGCGGAATATAGTCCGTACAGATCACTAACCAATCCGAGCATTGTGCTATCGTGTTGCCGACAGCGGCCAGAACGCGGATGAAAGTGGGAAGTGCGTCACCTCTCCAAATGAATCCCTAATACAGATACACGTGACGAGGCAGATAGACCGTAGGTATCACGCTTAGAAAAAATGTCTATCCGCACTTGTCTATCCGTAAAATTGTAGAGCGTTAATTTACCCCGATATACAAACTGAACCACGCCCACCTGCAACATAAAAATAGCACCGTAAATTCCTACCCAGTTTTTTCTACTCTTTTTTCTGAATTATGGTACTTGTAGATAGGTCGGTAGGTAGGTTTTTTGGACGTTATGAGCTGAATTTTGTTGTATCAAAAAGTATTTTTTTATTGCGCATTTTGATTTTGTACGGAAATGCTTACATGCAGGTCAGATCGAACCATGCCAGCCCGACGAGGAAGACCGTCTGGTAGGTGTGAATACTGTGCAGGAGCGCGATGTTCAGCACATTGCCTGTCGTACACAGAAACATCCACAACGGACGCAGCACCTGGTCCGCGTAGATCACGTCGGGATTGTTGAAGACGATGGATTCGTTGCGGTCCGGCCATCCACAGGCGGTGGACGGCGACAAAGCGGGTTCCGTTGTTACGATGGGATCGACAGTATCCTGCATATCAGAGACTTCCCTGCGCTCCAAATATCGCGGCCGATAATTGTGGCAGTTTAATAAGGACCGGATTATTATTAATGGAGTACTGTATCGAAACACTGCAGTACGGGTGTGCTTTCCACTTGAGTCTTGAGATGTTAATTAAAGTGCAAAATTAGATTCTGTCAAGACTGTCAGTCAGGGTAGAGAACGCAGATAGTCAGAAAGAATTACAGAAAATATGAAGTCAATTAACGGAATCGCGGCCGCAGTTGCAACAAATCGTCAACATTGAAAATGCTTGTGTACAACTGTACATACAGCTGTTAAAAGCGGAGAATGTTTATATCCGGAAGGCAGTTGACTTGTCACGGACGCCCGCAGCTATACCGTCTAAATGAGTCGACCGGCGATTCATGGGGGTAATTAAAGTAACGGACATGTCAATTGTTTTTCCACTTGATATTGATTAAAGACAAGACGGAGTGTTCCCGCGATACCCGCCCGCTTTCTACGATGCCGGTAAATAAATATTAACAAAAAGTGTAAGTATGAATTTTTAAATAGGGCAGCCTGCATAGTTTTTGCTTTCCTGATAATCCCATCACTATAATAATGGGCCCTCCCAACTGTATTGCGTTATTTACAACAGTGTTGTATTAAATACCGAAATGCCGCACTGACATAAACTCTTTAAGTAATCGCTTTAATTTCTGTCAGTAATGATGGCTTTATTCCGAATTAGATTAATTTGAGCGAAGCTCGCTTCATACTTACATAGAAATTTATTATGATCTGCAGTTTTTGAGTTGGCTAGCGAAAGCAATAAATCAACGTAGCTAAAGGTTGGGCCGAGATTTATTTTTCAAAGAGCCTTTGGATTAGAGAATATAGCAGTATACTAATACCAAATTTAGAGTACTATAAAACATCGTACTGACAACATTAACCGTCTTTTAAGAAAGTAATAGAGCATCTATTAAGAGTGTGATCTTGCACTGCTACTTGACAGCATCCATTGACGGTCAGTAGCATGCATGTACTGCCTGCTCAGTTCTGTAACGAACACAGACGATGCTTGGCTCACGTTTTCATTGGTCAGGAGAATGTCGTGTCCATTAACTTTTGCATCGGTACGCGTACACTACAGCCAAAATAAATTTCCGTGTATTATATAGGAGTCATCTAATTTATCACATTAACGTTAAACGGTTATGTGCGCATACAGCATCGGCTAAGAGCGGTTCATACAGGGTTTTCGGTTCAGAAAGCGCGGCACACATCCTACACGTGAAGTATACGAAGCCATAGTTCATGCTGGGCCCGGTGACTATGCGACGTCGTTTACAGCCTAAAGAACGGGACAAGTCGCGTGCTTGTGTGTTTGTGGGTGTCGCATTTTGGGGCCATCGGATCTGTGTACGACAGACGCATGAATGCGATCAGCTGCTCTCAGATCGTATCCATGTTTTCGCGTATGCATCATCCGCGGACGGCAGCTAATCTCTGGGTCATCGAAAACATTGACGCGCGTATGAACATCATGGTCAAGCGCCGATCCTTCAAGCCTACCTAAATACTGGCGAGTCAAACTGCATCACGTAAATCATAATAAATTTTGTTACAAATTATGCAGCAAATTGCAAATATTCGTAACTGTTTGTATCGGTACCACACGGCAATCTTGGACTTTTTGATGCTTTTAGATTTCGATGCGCGGTTTTTATTTGCAAAAGAGCGATACCATGTTTTTGAGACCAATGCGTCGCGTTGTCTTGTTACTACTTGTTGCAATTTTAGGCAGGGCGGATGGTGCTCCCGCATCTCTAGGTGGTTAAGTATAACAAGCATCGGTAGGATTAATTAACTAATTAATTATTATTAGCGCAAAATACGAGGTATGCTATTCTGTCAGTTCAGTTCAATATAGCGTGTATGTATGTATGGGTGTAAATATTTCAGTCCAGCTGTAAAGTTAAAAAAGTTTCCGATTTTTTTGAATTTTGCAAACACGGAGAAGAAACCATAGAGAGTTCCATTTGTTACAGCAGATTTTTCTGTAGATTTAGGAGCCATAAAGAAGTCTGCCGGGACATTGTCAACACTGCCACCGTGGCAAGACATACTGTGGCCACCCGCCACTAGCGAGGACGTCGAGACCGACGCCGAAGCCAACCGGCTGGCAGTCCCTTCCGCACTCATTGGCCGCATGCCCAGATACGACTACAACTACTGGAACCACAGTGGAAACTGTGTCCCCTACGAAATGCATTCTGCATTTGGTAAGGAGCGTACACGTCAAGAACCATGTATAAACTATAGAGAGACTGGACGAAATAGTTTATAATATAGCGAACTCCTGCTCGAGAATGCTAACAACTAACTGTATCTGTTGTGCAGATCCTGAGATGCGCCAGCAGATTGAAATTGCCCTGACCGCCATAGAACAGGCAACGCACGGCTGTATCGGATTCAAGCAGCGAGAGCATCAGGAGGAATATATTACGTTCATTCGATCTCGTGCAGCGTTGTATGTATACTCTATGAATCCATAGTCCGATCTCTTAGTTGCAGCGAAAACAGCTACCTCTGTTTCAGATGCACCGCTGAACTAGGAAGGACACCTAGTAAACCGACAAAGGTCATTCTCGGAAAGGGATGCATGGGGAACGGCACGGTCATGCATGAAGTAATCCACGCGCTGGGCTTCTACCATGAACATAGCCGTCCTGATCGCAATTTCTACGTGGATGTGTTTCTGCACAACGCGCAGAAGGGTACAGACGAGCGTAATTTTGACATCCTCCAGGATATGCCGGTATTTAACCTGCCGTACGACTATGAATCCATAATGCACTATGCACCCACGGATTTTGCCTTCAATGCCCAGCAGAGAGTGATCGTGCCGAAGATCCATGCACCGCTGAATATTGGCCATCGCCAGCAGCTGAGCATGCTGGATGTCTTACGACTCAAAATCGCCTACGGATGCCTAGACGAGAACCTGGCACCCGTCAGCAAGAAACTGTCTAATCCATGCAGCACAGAATCATCCAGAGAAGACGAACAGCCGGAACTGATGGCGAGTACCGTTCGCAGTGCATTGGCGTACTTATCGAACAAAGAGCAAGTGGACCCGACCAGAGATTCAAACAGAGGTGGGCTTATTATTTATTTACCGAGTTAAAAATCCGTAATGTTCACTTTACTTTTGCTAATGCAGCATGGGTTACAATAGCTGGTAGCACGTACTTTTCGTCGACCGTCACTATGTACATCGAACAGCCAGTGTCGATTGTCATGGCGGCGACAGTGAAAAAACATAAGGAACCTAAGAAAAAAAGAAACTTGAGAACCTAAGAGACAAAAAAAAACATAAGAAACGAAACCTCAGAAAACCTTGGAAAACCGAAGAAATTTGTGACGTAGTGTGGTTGTGCCGTGTGCGATCGATCTGGTGACGGTCGACGAAGTGCCTGTGTGCCCAACCTCATACATCGCACCGTAAAGGTTTTCGACAAATTTTGCATGCAGATTTCAGAAACCAGCGGATGGAGGTAGTTGCGTCGGAGTCGTTATCGTGGTTCTCCAACAAACCAATGACGAAAGACCAGTGTGCCGCCCAGTTCACGCACAAGTGTTGGCCCATGCAACAAGACGTGGCCACCTGCGCAAGATTCTGGGGTCTTGAGCTGAACTGCGATTCCTCGTTAACCCTCGCTGAGATGCAGCACATTATCGGGGTCCTATCAAAACCCCCAATTCGTCCGGTGCGTGTACAGTTGTACGATGGACCGCTGATCACAAGCAAGAATTTTGCATCCCTACAGAAGCGTGTGGTTCAGTTTACCTTGAAGATCTGTGTCAACGGGCGCACGTCCGGCAAGCTAACGGAACTGAGCTTCACCGAACTCCGAGAATTTCGCTTGCATTCCTGCTACGACTTAGAAATTAAACATGCTGATTTTAAACAGTCGGGGAATCTACAGATAATCATCTTCGAGGAATCAACGATTTTGTCAATTGAAAGGTTGACATTTACGGACCTCCTGCATCTGCGAATTCTCTCCCTGGAATTCGGACCGCTGAAACTGTTGAATTCCGATGATCGCTTCCGCACGCACGTCGAATCCCTCCACTGTCACTGTCGGTTTTCCTGGTTTCGACGGTGGTTGAAGGTTGACAACAAGTTATTGTGGAAAACGGAGCCCGGGGCGATTTATAAGCTGAAGAAAGCGTTTCGTAATACTGGCTTTACAAAAAGGGATCTGTATTTCCCCGTAGACTGTAACAAGCACATTCCATTAAATGCCTCTCTCGTTAATTTCGATGAGTCAGAGTACTCTCTTCATGATACCTATTGCCGTGACAATTAACTTCTCCGATATGCAGCATCTAATAATCCGATAACAAATTGATGGTGTTGAGGCTGAACGTCTTTTATTATTATTAAAAGTTTGGAAAATGATAAAATGGATTGGTTAATGGTGCCGGGTTTCAAGATCACCTACGTCGGGCCCGGTTAGTACTTGGATGGGTGACCGCTTGGGAACACCGGGTGTTGTAGACTTTTTGTTTTCTTAACTGCATGTTGCGTGGACGCTTTTAAAGCCTATAACTCGGTAGTACAAGACTGCAGGTACTATACGAGGACATTTGGGTGCTGTGAACATACCCTGCACGATTAGGCTGCGATGAACAGCTGGTTAGCCGTAGCTCGCAACGCTACTGTTATCACAGTCTGAATGCAAACGGCTATAAATTTAGCCGGCTGTTCATCGCAGCCTAATCGTGCAGGGTATGTTCACAGCACCCAAATGTCCTCGTAGTAACTGTTATCGTTATCACTTATCCAGCTATCCGTACGCAGAAATAGTAATTATGCAGCATGACAAACTCCAACAAATTTTTTTATTCAGAATGCGTTGAACCAGTGCACCTAATACCTATCATATTGTAGCAATAGAATTTGTACAACGTGTAAGACCACCAGTTTCGAATAGTAATGGTCATCAATATTATGCGATTACTTTTGCACCACTCGCTACCTCCGAGTGGAATATTAATGATGTACTGTACGTTGTATGAGTAAGTGCTTACGAGTACATGGTTTGTACCCGTGCGGCGTGCTTGAAATAAGTCGATTTAAAGAAGATTTGAACTTTTATACATTTTACGGTAGCGTACACCATGCAACAGTTGTACGCATCAGTGCTATTATGTATTTGTATCTGTCGATATCTGCTCTACCGTAAACAACGCATATTATAATCAAATTTTATAGTCGCAGCAAATTTTTATAGTCACATAAAACATTGGATTTTGCAAAAATTCACGGAACAAGAGGCATGTTGCAAAACATAATTACTGCACAGCAGTGTGGGTAAAAATGATGATAACTGAATAATAACTACGAGTATTGAGTAATAAGCTCGATGATTATGGCGCAAAGCGGACAACAGCACCATTCATAAAAGCACTGTTCCAACCTTAACCAAGATCTAGAAAACCAAATAATACCATAGAAAAATGAGGTTCAAACATGGCAACCAGGACACGTGCACTCGTATAAAAATGTTGCGGAAAACATAATACACTCCAGAAAACTGAGTAAACTAGTTTCGCGAAACTGTGACCTTTCTATTTTCTAACGGCTGTCGTGCTGCGCAAAGAACGCCTCCTTAGCCGTCATATTCCGCTTGCGCGGCGTCTCCACCTGCCGGCGCGTCTCGGAGATGATCTCGTCGGCCACCACGCGGGTGTCGGGGCGCTGCTTGACCTTGACCTCCTCCTCGGGGGTCTCCGTGTCGGTGATGGGCGCCAGGACCTGCGCGTGCTGGAAGGCCGTGGAGCCGCGCGCCACCGCCGGGATGACCGTCGTGGCGGCGACGTCCGGGGGCGGCGGTGTGATGGTGATCTCCGGGTTGGTCCAGAGTTTGCGCACTTCCGGTCCGGTCTGTTGCAGGAGATGGGTACCGACGATCTGCACCAGCGCCGTCTTGAAACGGGTCATCTCGTCGTCGGATTCCAGGCGGAACCAGTAGGTTTTCAGTTTGTTCTTGGGGGTGCGTTGGGCGATGGCCGCCAGGTGTTCCGAGTTGAGACCGCGCGGCAGTTTCGGGCTGAGATACGCTGGAATGTCTGGAAATTTAAAACCAGCTACAATTACGCAAATCACAGTACAAAAACCTAAACTTCTTTGCAAAGAAATGTGTCTACTTCTTCAAGCTTATTTATTTTTATTTATTTTTTTGAAAATTATTTTGATTTATTCTTAAATGTAGAAAACAATCTCCAGCTAACTGTATTTATTTAAACAAATTTTAAATAGTTCTTTTGAAAAACGCTTTCTTATTTAATTTTTGTTTTTTTAAGTTTGTATTTTTAAAACTTATTGTGCGTATGTTTTTTAAATTTGATTTTTTTAATTTTTAAGATTATTTTAGATTGAATTTAAAATGTAAACATAATATTTTAAACTGCCGCGTATTTTTCGTAATATTTCTACACTTTTTAAATAGGTTCATAATTTTATAACTTCATAAATTCTCGGGAGGTCCACAATACTGCAGTCTTTAAAATTCTTCTTTAGAATTATTTTCTTGCTTATGCCGTTATTTTTTTAAATTTCTATATATGTTTTCTCACTGCGTAAAACGTCTGTTAAATAACTATTATAAAATTACTATGGCTTACCTAAGCAGGCTTGACCGAGAACGACGAATCCAGCCGGGAGCTCCTTCAGGTTAATACTATGCGAATGATCCTTGGCGTCGGCATTCGTCCATTCCAGCACCCCGTCCCGTGTAATCACCGCGTCGACGGGATGCCAGTTGTTCTTGAACAGCCGGAAGCCGTTCTTCAATAGCCGTCCCGAAAACAGCACGGCCTGGGTGGCCGTCGAAGTGGAATCCCGTGCCGACTGCAGTGTGTCTTGCGGGAAACTCACTTTGCGCCCGTCGCTCCCGTCGGTGACGTCCTTCGCGGCGCTCTCATCCAGATCCACCGGCAGCGTCGGAGCAATTTGCATCGCTGAAAATATAATATTTTTGAAATTATAAAATATTTATTATTTTTCTAAAACGCTTTTTTTGACGAGCTGGCCATTTTTAAAATTTTTAAGAAAGTTCAACAAAACAATCTGAAAGCTTTACTGGAAACACGAGGTAACTCAATTCTACGTGTAAATCAATTGCAATATTAAGTATTATATTATGTAAATTAAGTATTACAAAATTCACCATAAAGTAAGTTTGCTTTAGTTTACTTATTGAGCAGGCTAACGAAATGATTCACATTTATAACTACTGATTAAAATGTATAGCGCAAATTTATTTGGTATTTGGAAAACTATATTTTACAAATTTTATAATTTATATAAATGCTGTCATTTTAATTTTTCTTTTTTCTGACAATTTTTAACGTACAGGATTGTATTTTTCTACAGCACGCAACCGTTAAAAATGTTGTGCAATAATTTTGTGCATTTCAGCGGGTCGCAGACGCACCCGGAAGTGGGAACCCACCCAGCTGACGATTAATTAACCGATTAGCGCCGCGCGCGCGGGATCAGTCAAACGGTGATTAATGTGCTGTTTTCAGCCAACAGTGCATTAGCGTCTATGATACTATACATACCCTTGGTGTCGATAATGCGCGCAATTTCCGTGTCATCCCCAACGGCCATACGCGTGGTGATGATCTTGGTGGAGGTGTGGGTGGTGGTCACCTTGGTGACGGTGGATCCCAGGAGGGCCTGGCCCTCCTTGGTCTTGGCCAGGATGCTGGGGATTTCCGCCCGGACCCCGCCCGCGGGGATCACTTCCGTGATGTGGAAGGTGTTGGAGGCGTGGCTGCTGCGTTCCCAGCCGGGGTTAATGGGTTTCGCCACCGCTACGGGCATGTTACTGCGGTTTTGGGTTATGTAATGACGAACCTGTCTAAAAAGGGATATTTTATACAAGTTTGATGTTTTTTTTTAAAATTGATTTCCTTTCAAATATATATTGCTGAATAAAGTTACTTCTACAATATATTTTTTTAAAATAATTTTCCTTTCGAATTCTCATACAGATAGTTTTTGGTAAAATCGGCGTTTTACGTTGCCGTGACGATGCAAGAAAAGTCGAAACAACAAAAAACAAATTAAAAGTTGTTCCCACTGAACTAACGCGTGGGAAAATTTCTCCACCCATAAAACTGTTGATATCCTATTCGAAAACTAAAAAAACCTGCACATAAAATTTTTCCGACTGAATCAAAGCTTGGGAAAATTTCTCCGCCTAAAAAAATGACCCTCCTGGGGGATTTAAAAATGTTTAAATAAAACATACTTTGATGTTCCAGACTGGATTAACGCGTGAGAAACGTTTTCCGCCCGAAGAAATTATTTTTACGCTGCTCAAGAAATAAAAGATCCACAAGAAAAAGAATGTTTTGAGTTGGATTAAATCAAGGAAAATTTTTGTGCGAAAAAGAAAGGCGAATATGCTCCTCGCAATTGCGAGCTAAAAAACCCGCGAATAATAAACGATTTTTTAACGAATTTAAATCGTGGAAAATTGTTCCGTCTAAAAGAAATGCGTATGCTGTTCGAGACTAAAAATCCCAGTAAAACTTTTACCTCATTAAAAACCAGTCCTAAGTTCTTGAAAATTGACGTTTAAAAGGCAAAATTATCCAAACTTCGAACCAAACCCTAGCGTTTCACGGTATCTACTTACTTGGCAAAATGCAGCGTAGAGACACAATCAGCCTGGGCAATCAGCGTATAAAACCGCAGCAGACAGTAGAAATGATCGGGAGGAACGTTAGATATCAAATGAAAACTGGCTTTTCAAGCAGATCGCCAAAGTGGAACAGCAGACGGATCCTTGACGAGCGTTGTATGGAGATTTTTCCACGATTCTCACCCTGAACCACGAAACTGGATAATCAGTATGCAGATGGGAATCACAATCAGCGCGCTCCTTAAGAACACTTCTCCGCAACTGGATGAGCCATGCAATGTATACACGCATCCATGTACACAGCGTATGGCGCATCGCTGCGTCATGTATACTTCCACTGCACCGGCAATATGCTCGGTATATATGATTCATCGCCTGTTATTGATCGCGGTGCCGGGTGTATGGAACCGTCGATAATCCAGTTGAGTAGGCAAATACACTGTGTTGGACGCGGATGGTAATGGGACGCTATAGACGGGTTAATAGTGTCCCCTTCGTGGCATCGATCGATGCCGGTTCGGAGTTGGCTGTTATATGCTGAACTGCTAGAATGTGTACAAGCTTAACCCGTAATTTCTGACGTAAAGGTACAAATAATAACATGGGGTACGCGTTACTACTAGTAAAAAATATTTATGTTTTTATGTGTATTTATATGTATGTATATGTATGTATATGATGTATTTATAAATATACTGTAATTACAAGTAGACTGCGGCCGACAGCGTGGCCTCGTAAGTTATGCACCTCCGGTGCATACGATTGTCTGTAATACTGTAGACCGTCAGCAGGTGGCCCATTAGTCATTTTCTATTGATTTGTTCGGGAAAATATAATTTTATCCTTTAAATGATTACTCCGTGTTAATGCGTAATCGACAGATTTCTAGAAAAAACAGGACATGTTTCCGATTGAAATTCTGTGTTGATATGTTTTGGTTCCAAATATAACTGGTTGCCATTTTTATTCTGCGAACAATGTAAAATTTTTTGAATGAACACAGAATTTTGACAAAAAACAAAAAGGAATACAAATGAGAAAAATTACAGCAATTAAACAAAACAACGAAAGTTATCAAAATTAAACTACATAGTTTTGGCAGTATTACGTTTTTTGGTTTTCTTATTTTAAACAGCAATGCGATACCTATTCGCACATCGTCGTTTGTAGGGAATGTTCCCAGACACGGAGCGGGCAACGCATTCAACCAGGCTCCAGAGTCTTTGTTTAGTGCAGCCAGCAAGACAGCCCTGTTACGTTTGTTTCCTTTTGTACTAGACATAAGAATGGCAATGTTCCGCTCAATCATTGGTGCATCCCATGCGTACTGAAACTTCCGAGTGATATCTCCTGGGATCTCAAAGTGCATACGCTGTAGCCGTTTATTCGGTTGGGTTCTCTATTAAAAAATATGAGCACTCCAGTTGAGTTATTGTTTTGAACACAACGATTGGCCAAGCAGTATTCCTTTAGTATAAAGCAATTTGGTGGTTATGTATCAAGTAATGCAGCGAAGTACTTTGCAGTATATCAGTATTACTGACATGAGAAGTACTTTCTTTATCTAAATTAAACAACTACTTGTATTCATTTGACAGATTTGCACAGGTAACATGTTGGTAACGAGCTCGTTACAACGGTTACTGAGTGTTACGTCCCGGCACACTCCAAAAAACTCGGACATACAACAGTTTCCAAATTCAATCAAGTTTAGAGACATTGCTAAACAAAAACTGAAAAGCGGTTGAAAAGCGTCCCATGCGTATAACCAAATTTCATGAGCATCATTGTTATAACGGTACCGAGCAGTACGTCTCGGTACTACCCAGGCAAACCAAACATTGTCCAATTTTACAGTTTTTATTCGTTTTGAAAACTCCGCTATTAAAAAAGTGCAAAACCGTTGAATACCATCTCCTGCGTATATTGGAGTCTCATGAGCATTATTGTTATAACGGTACCGAGTCGTACGTCCCAGTGCTGCCCAAGTAAACCAGGCGTGGCGGACGTTCGTATCAGGTAGGTACCACCCCTTCCTAATCATATAAGTATTACAGACATAACAGACATAATAACGCCCACCGACCAATCCGGATCGTCCGAAGGCGGGGTTTAAGTGAAAATGGCCCGGTGGCACAAAAACTATCCGTTTTATGGACCATTTTGATCAGTTTCTCTTCCTGAGTTCAAAAAAATAAAAGATTTCGATATCTGACCCCATGACCTTTGGTAACGGTAGCGTTACCATTGTAATATATATGGTTACCATATGTTACCAAGTCCAAAGCACCCCTATTTGACTTCCCACACAGTCTGCTGTGATTGCCAAGTCGTTAGCTTCATTTGCGACGCTGTTTGCAACAGTTTGCTCTGTTAACTTTGTTGGTAACCGTTACCACCATGGTAACGGTGCCCGTTACCACTATAATAACGGTACCCGTTACTACAGTGATAGCGGTACCGCTATCACTGTTGTACTAATTCGTTATTAAATTAGTTGCGGTACCCGCTACTAATGTAACTACTAAAACGGGTACCAAATGATAGCAGTATCAGCTACCACCGTTGTAACGGTACTTGTTACCGCAGTGGTTACCATGACATATGGTCGGTTACCTAGTAATTCACTTGTAACGCTTAAGATTTTTATTTTATTTGATTTGCCACGCTTTTCTGAGCAGAAATAGTGTGAAATACTTCTTGGTCACTTCTTGTGGTTACGTGTTACCTACGTAACTGGGTTAGTGGGCGTGGCTTAGAGGGTTTTGGTAATTTTAGATTTGAACGCCGTTTTGGATAGACAGGATGTATTAGTTTTTCTGGTTACGTGTTACCTATGTAACTGGGTTTGTGGGCGTGGCTTAATAGGTTTCGGTAATTTCAAACTTTAACGTTGTTTTTTATGGACAGGTACTATTAGTTTTTCTTCCTGAGTCAGAAACCGGTTAGAGGTCACCCGGGTGACCTTTCCTAACCATAGATTCGGTGGTCACGTGACCATTTATAGTGTATAACTATGGCGGGTGACCTTTTGAAAAAATGTCTTTGCTGGCTACCCAAAATAATTTGACGCGAGAAAAAAGGTTCACTAGTTCGTTTTCGGGTCTGATGGTCGGTTCAGCCGGTTCATCGAATTCTTGAATACGGCTGAACGCAATGAATCTTGAGATTTGCAAATGTAAGGTCACATTTAGTACCGGCCGCTTTAATGACGGAAACTTTTGCGGTGGGTCAGAGTGGGCGTGGCGGACGTTCGTATCAGGTAGGTACCACCCCTTCCTAATCATATAAGTATTACAGACATAACAGACATAATAACGCCCACCGACCAATCCGGATCGTCCGAAGGCGGGGTTTAAGTGAAAATGGCCCGGTGGCACAAAAACTATCCGTTTTATGGACCATTTTGATCAGTTTCTCTTCCTGAGTTCAAAAGTAAATAATAACGCCCACCGACCAATCCTGATCGTCCGAAGGCGGGGTTTAAGTGAAAATGGCCCGGTGGCACAAAAACTATGTGTTCTATGGACGGTTTTGATCAGTTTCTCTTTCTGAGTCCGAAAAAGTAAAAGATTTTGGTATCTAACCCCATGACCTTTGGTAACGGTAGCGGTACCATTGTAATATATATGGTTACCATATGTAACCAAGTCCAAAGCACCCTATTTGACTTCCCGTACAGTCTGCTGTGATTGCAAAGCCGTTATCTTAGTTTGCGACGCCGCTAGCAATCGTTTGCTCTGTAAACATTGTTGGTAACATGTTGTCACCATGGTAACGGTGCCCGTTACCACTTTAATAACGGTACCCGTTACTACAATGATAGCGGTAGTACAGGTTTTCGTTATTAAATTAGTAGCGGTGCCCGCTACTAATGTGACTAATAAAACGGTAACCAAAACGATATCAGTATCAGCTACCACCGTTGTAACGGTACCTGTTACTGCAGTGGTTACCATGACATAGGTCGGTTACCTAGTAATTCACTGGTAACGGTAAAGATTTTTATTTTATTTGATTTGTCACGTTTTTGTGAGCAGGAATAGTATGAAATACTTGTTGGTCACTACTTGTGGTTGCGTGTTACCTATGTAACTGGGTTTGTGGGCGTGGCTTAATAGGTTTCGGTAATTTCAAACTTTAACGTTGTTTTTTATGGACAGGTACTATTAGTTTTTCTTCCTGAGTCAGAAACCGGTTAGAGGTCACCCGGGTGACCTTTCCTAACCATAGATTCGGTGGTCACGTGACCATTTATAGTGTATAACTATGGCGGGTGACCTTTTGAAAAATGTCTTTGCTGGCTACCCAAAATAATTTGACGCGAGAAAAAAGGTTCACTAGTTCGTTTTCGGGTCTGATGGTCGGTTCAGCCGGTTCATCGAATTCTTGAATACGGCTGAACGCAATGAATCTTGAGATTTGCAAATGTAAGGTCACATTTAGTACCGGCCGCTTTAATGACGGAAACTTTTGCGGTGGGTCAGAGTGGGCGTGGCGGACGTTCGTATCAGGTAGGTACCACCCCTTCCTAATCATATAAGTATTACAGACATAATAACGCCCACCGACCAATCCTGATCGTCCGAAGGCGGGGTTTAAGTGAAAATGGCCCGGTGGCACAAAAACTATGTGTTCTATGGACGGTTTTGATCAGTTTCTCTTTCTGAGTCCGAAAAGTAAAAGATTTTGGTATCTAACCCCATGACCTTTGGTAACGGTAGCGGTACCATTGTAATATATATGGTTACCATATGTAACCAAGTCCAAAGCACCCTATTTGACTTCCCGTACAGTCTGCTGTGATTGCAAAGCCGTTATCTTAGTTTGCGACGCCGCTAGCAATCGTTTGCTCTGTAAACATTGTTGGTAACTTGTTGTCACCATGGTAACGGTGCCCGTTACCACTTTAATAACGGTACCCGTTACTACAATGATAGCGGTAGTACAGGTTTTCGTTATTAAATTAGTAGCGGTGCCCGCTACTAATGTGACTAATAAAACGGTAACCAAAACGATATCAGTATCAGCTACCACCGTTGTAACGGTACCTGTTACTGCAGTGGTTACCATGACATAGGGTCGGTTACCTAGTAATTCACTGGTAACGGTAAAGATTTTTATTTTATTTGATTTGTCACGTTTTTGTGAGCAGGAATAGTATGAAATACTTGTTGGTCACTACTTGTGGTTGCGTGTTACCTATGTAACTGGGTTTGTGGGCGTGGCTTAATAGGTTTCGG